CCCTGGTTATGTCTGCCGGACGCAGTGCCCCTACGGAAGTGTCCACAACGGACGGGAGGATGGTACTAGCCCTACTGTAACCACGACGACCTTCCACCGACCTTTTTTATCCTGCTCTGCCACGACTGCCCGTGTCCTGTCACTGCGAATTTTATCTCCACCTGCCGCCGTGACAGAGCTACCACAAGTCAAGGAAAGAGGCTTGAAGAAGGCGGCGTCAGAGGCACGCCCAGCAATTCTGGATTGTACTTGCGTCACCACGGTGAAGCCTTTCCTTGGACTTGGAAAGAATATCTACTCGTGCCTAAGAGGCCCACGTCTCAACGAACGAACTTTGGTCGGTTCGTCTTCCTGGGCCCGGGGAAGGCTTCCAGCGACCAATTGCGGGCTCCACTCTTCCTACTAGGCACTGATCCCCGCTGCAGTGCCTGTCCTGGACGATGCTCCTCCCTTTCAACACCAAGGCTGAGAGACAGGAGGCTGGGATCGCCAGGACTTGGGGTCTACATCTCATCCCGCCGCAGTGGTTGGCGGTACTTCCACATCCCGTCGCCTCATGTCAATGGCAGGGCAAGGTTACCCTGAAGGCAAAATTTTCCCGTGAAAGACGATCCCACGAAAGACTGTCTCCGCTGGCGATGGAGCTCACCGCTCGCCGCGGAGACTGGTGTGCAGACACGTTCAATCGGGGGTCGTCTGCCTGGTCTCCGGGCAGCCGGATTCCTGGGATCATGAGCAAGGCCTTACATGGGCCGAGGCGATCATCTGCTTCGGCTGACACTCACATGGTGTCCCATTATCGAACCCATCAACATCGCCATCGAGCGCCCCAGCTCGTGGCCGAGCAAGGATGCAGGGAGGCTCAGCCTGATGGTGTATATTGCCGTCAAGGTCGACTGCATACGATGCTGTTAAGTATATCAGACGATTCGCGGGCTACCAACGACATGGCTCGTCACGTCGCAAGCTGTGTTTGCTGTTCTCTCGGTTCCTAGCCGAGAGGCAAATCTCGCCCCTGTTTCATGACATATTTGGGTCCGGCACCGTTCAGGGGTGGGAGCTTCCAGGCTAATGCAGGTACGACGGTACTTTGCGTTCGACA